TGTGCACTCACTATAACCACAGACTCTTTCACAGCAAAAGCATTATCAAACACAGCTCAATGAGTCCAAGGTAGGACGATAATTTCAAAGCTGTCTGGCGCTGACATTTCTTTTAATATACAATGCTGTGCCTTATGCCAAAGAGAGGGAACTGGAGTGAAGTTTGCTGGGTTCTGGGTCAGAAAGAAAGGCTAGTTCAAAAGAGTGTGGCGTCCTCCTTGGGATACAAACACCATCTCTTATTTACAGCACTGAATTGGCAAAACCTGTTTTGGAACAGACAGCAAGACTGTTTTCCCCACCAGCTACTGTGCATTGCCATGGTTGCTGTCATTAACATTAATGAACAAAAAGCTAATGAAAGATAGTACTACAAATCAATCACCACACAATTAAAACACCAAAATCTGTTATCAAGGAAAGATGCTGTAGAGACAAATACAAAATAGGGCTTGGAATTCTTTGAAATTCACATTTTTTATCATATATAACTGAAGCAATGTTGTTTGTCAATCTCAGGAGGTCAAACAAAATATTATATTCATATATGAACTCAAAGTGATTTTTATTTTCATTCTATAATTATAAATGTTTAATATAAGATTGATTGATTGAAGTGTTTTGCCATTTTTCAACCCTGTTACCCATATGTTGGACGTATTTGAGCCGTTTAAAACCTTGATTGGCTTTGTTTTATTTTCTAGCAATCAACTTTAATTGATATAAATATTGGATGAAATATTAATGAAATTCTGGTTTAAAAGTTAAATGGTGCATTTAGATACAAAATATGGCTTAAAGCTCTTTAAAATGTACATTTCTGCTTTTATCAACAATGTACAAATGAAACAATGTTGTTTGTCAATCGCAAGAGGTCAAACAAAATATTATTTGTATATATGAACCCAAACTGATTTTTATTTTCATTCTATATTTATAAATGTGTAATATAACATTGATTTTATAAGAGTTTGTCCATTTTTCAACCATGTTACCCATATGTTAGACATATTTGAATAGTATAAAACCTTGATTGGTTGGGTTTTTATTTTCCAGCAATCAGCTTTAATACATATAAATATTGTATCAAATGTTAATGAAATTCAGGGTTACATGGTGTATTTAAATAGAATATTAACGTCTTCCTGAGTTCGTCTCCCTTGGTTCCTGAAAATAAAGTCTTGGTAAAGTATTCTCCAGTGTCTCCTCGTTCCTCGTGTGTGTGCACCGTGACAAATATATGACTTAAAACACCATTTAAACATTTTTAATATAAAACTGATTTTATAGAAGTCTGGCGATTTTTCATCCCTGTTGCCCATATTTTGGACATATTTTAATAGTATAAAAACTTGACTGGTTTAATTTGATTATTTTCAAACAATTGACAAAAAAAAACAAATATTCAATACAAATATTAATGAAATCCAAAGTTAAATGGTGCATTTAAATTAAAATATGCCAGAATGAGGGTTGTAAGAAACAGGGTTGTAAGAAACTCAGTTACAGATTTTAATTAAACTGCTAATTGTTAATTATTTATAGTGACCAAAATGAAAGAAAATAATAAGAAAAATGCTTATGTTTAAGCATTTGTTTTTTTTACAATAACATTGGTAACAGGGTTGAATGGTTGAAATTACAAATTAATTTTCAAAGTTCTAAATAAAACAAAGGTTATTGAAGTTTTTACAAGAAAATACAATTTGTTTTGAAATGAAAATTTCACACTTAATTTAATGCACCATTTCTTTGTAATAGTTTGTAAAACTTACTAGCAATTTCTGAGTGAAAAATGTTTATTCTCCAAATGTCTTCTGCTGCTGCTGCTTTTTTTTTTTTAAATGGAAAATAATTAGAAATTGAGAAAACAAAAGGAGATTATACTTACCTTTCACCATGATGTGGAAATGTTCCATTTTGTTTAAACAGGGAGGAAATCATCCAGTGACAGGGTTGAATGATTGTGGAATATATTTAAATAATATGCTTAATTAAATGCATTAGTTAGCCAGTATATACCTTGGTAAGTGCCTACAAAGTAAGCACACCAGACAGCATTTAGGATAAATAATTTAATGCTAATATCAATACATGTACACTCTCACAAAAGTGAAAGAACCAAAAATTGCCAATGTCATCTCTTTCTAAACAAACAAAAAAAACATCAACAGTCCTTTAAATATTGCTTAACTAATCTAAAATCCCTTTGAAAACAAAGCAGATGCCTGAGAGTGGAAACCATTAAATTAAAGTCGTTGGCACACGCTCACCGCAAACGCGCACACACACTTTAAGTAAACTATGGGGGGGTGTCCTACTTTCATATCATGCACCCCCTTTTTAAAAACAACATTACACCACACTGTGAGAAATGCTTTAACAGTCCAAATGTGAGAAGTAGTGACCCAAATTCTCATTTGGTTTTGATAATTCATACTTATTATCAGTTTTATACAGTGTTTGGAAGTTCAGTGCTTTATCGGTCGTAGCAAATTGTCTGCGTGTTAAATAAACAGTCTGTGTGCATTAGTAAGAAGCGTATGATGAATTCTGTACAAGTTGTTTTAACAATGCGTACTGTATTGTGACAGTCGAAGCTGCGGTCCACCTCCAGTCTTGGCTCACTCCATTTAATATTTAGTGGGTTTTAAAACGGGGTTGCACCACTAGACTTTTATTTGGTGTAGAACATTGCAGTTGTCAATGGCTGAATATCGTTTTAAGGGAGCTGTGGCAAGGCAATGGATTCTGAGTGCAGGCAGAGCCTGAGTGTGACATAATCCATTAACAAAGGATTCTGGGAAAGATAACCCCATGCACACAACAGCAAAGCACTTAAATCTAGATGTCTGTTGGTGTTCTGTAACAAAAACAGCAGTCTAGGCACTCCTAATGGAACAGACTGAAGGAAAGATCTGGGTATGAAGAAAGCTGAGGGCTGTTTGATAACATTCACGAACACCACACCATTATAACGGCAGATCATACGTGAAAGCCGTCCGAATGGAGAAAATGTAGCGGAGGAACAGGAACTGTTCTCACTGTCTCACAGATCCAATTGCATTCACGTCTCAGTGTAAACTGTCCATGTCCTGACACTGTCTCCTTTATCCTGTATGATGCTTCATAAATCCGTAATAAAAGACATATTATATGACAGGTGCGTGTAATAGCTTTGTGTAGATGCGTTTCTTTTTCCTTGGTTCTTTTCATGTAGAAAATCATGTACAACAATCAGAAGTGATTGTAGGTTCTGCTTAGTGTAACACTACATGTTGTCATTATGTCAAATATGGCTGTCAGTATTGAGTATAAAAACTTTAGCAAATACAGAGTGATGTGAAAAACTGTTTACTAGTACTGAGTTTATATCTAACTTCCTGATATGATAATATAACCAGAGTTTGTGAGAAGAGACGAGAAGAAAGGAGAATGAGACGAGAAGCGACAAGATAAGAAGAAAATATACAAGAATGAGAAGGGAAGAGAAGAGACGAGAGGAGGAAAGAGGAAAGAACAAAGATGAGACAAAAGGAGAAACAAAGAGAAGAGACAAGGAGAAAAAAAAACAAGATGAGATGAACAGAGAAAAGGTGAGAAGAGATTAAACAAGATGAGAATAGACTAAAGATGGTGATGGGAGATGAGGAGAGAGAAGCAGAGATGAGATGAAAGACGAGAAGAGACCAGATGAGAAGAAACGAGACAAACTAAAATAAAAGAATAGGAGATGAGGAGAGCAGAGACAAGGTGAGAAAAACATGAGAAAACATGAGACTAAAATGAGATGAAAATGGAGCAGAGACTAAATGAGAGGAGAGAAGATGAGACAAAGATGAGACGAAACGAGGTGAGATGAGACAAAAAGGTGACAGGAAGATAGAGGAGATGAGATGAAACATGAAGAAGAGAAGGGATGAGATGAGAAAAGACGAGGCAAAATGAGACAAGATAAAGTGGGAAAACATGAGAAACATGGATAAGAGAAAAGAGGAGACTACAATAGATGGGATGAAAGGAGAGAAGAGATGAGGAGAGGAGATGAAAAGAGATCAAAACAGATGAGCAGAGACTAAATGAGAGGAGAAAAGATGAGACAAAACAGAGAAGAGATGAACACCAAAGAAAAGAAGAGATGACACGAGATGAAACAAAGGAGAATAAAGCAGACAGAATTAAATAAGACAAAGCGAGAAAAAAGCATGAGAAAAAAGGAGAAAAGAGGAGACTAAATTAGGTGAGATGAAAGAGAGATAAAACAAAGATGGGACTAAAAAGTGGTGTGAAAATAGAGGAGATGAACAGGAAACATGAAGATGAAAAAAGACATGAGATGATATGAGCCAAAGCAAGAAATCGAGAAGAGAAAAGGGGAGACTAAAACAGATGAGATTAAAGGATAGGAGAGAAATGAGCAGAGAGGAGAAACCTACGGGTGACGTCACGGACACTATGTCCATGTTTTTATACAGTATATGGTAGTAACTGATTACATGTAATGTGGATTACATAATCAGATTCCAAACATAATCAGATTAAAATACATTTTAAAATGCTCACAATCAGATTACAGTTACTTTTAATGGACTACATGATTACATTTTATTCACACCGTAATGGCAGTAAACTGTTTTGATTGTTTTGATTTTAAAAGAAAATGTGAAACCCTGTCATAATGTAATGCTACATGTAAATCTAAACGTAATCCAAAAAGTAGTCGCGGTACATTACCCAATGTGTGTAATCCAATAGATTACATTACAAACTAAGATTTCCGTCATGCAATTGGTAATCAGTAATGGACTACAATTTTGTAAGTAATCTACCCAGCATTGGCAGTGGAAGTATCGCAACAGCGGTAACCTTTCCTTAGTATTTCAGGCAGTGTTTATGTTTATATATAAGTAATGGCCATCGAAGCATTTAACGGCATGGTGTTAATCTCTTAAATGGAGGAGTGAATGGAAGAGAGGAGCTGTTGATAGGATGTTGGCAGCAACTCACTTGCAGGATTTGTGGGAGCAGGGCTTGAAGATGGCTGATATGGAGTGTGCATAGCAGATCGGGCAGAGATCGTCCTCGCTGGTCGGCTGTGAAAGAAAAACACTGTGATTCAATCCACCGTGTGTTAAAAGATGTTGTCAGACAAAAATGTCATCATATTCAGAAAACCAACTATATATTAGACAGACAATATTTAAAAGGAAATTAAGGACTAGTTGAAACCTTTTTTTTTTTTTTTTGGTCATTGGTCATTAAAAAAATTGCATAGCGCATGCATAAATAAAACTTAATAATCTTACTAAGAATTTCTGATTTAATATTTGACACTTTTTTTTCAATAAATTAGTACATAATATCTGACATTTTAAGCGACAGTTTGGATAAGTTCATCCCGTGGAGCTTTTTACCTCTTTTTCATAGTTTTCAATTTTGTGCTATAGCAGGTAAATTAGCGAGCATTTCAGTTTATATACTAAATAACTCATCATTATCATCATGTACATACTAAGCTCATCTCTAAATATGTTACAATTTAGCAATAAAACACACTGTTCTTATCCCAATTCATTTTAAGTCAGTGAGCCTAACAGCCAAACACTTTTTTAGTGAATTGTCGTGACGTCTGGTTACCCCTAATGTCAAAAAGTGCCTACTTATGGTATTTTCGAAGTATGTCACTGGACTTATATTGACCAGAATTTCTTATGCTACAGAAGACCTCATTTTATTTCCTAATACATACTCAAAGGAACAGATTTTCACCTGCACAGCGGGTACTTTTTGTAATTAGCAGCAAGAGAACAGAGCTTGACCCCTGACCCCTCGAAACAGGCTGATGGAGCTTCATTAGTATACAAGCATCTCATTAATATGTAAGCCTTATTATTACACAGTCAAGGCAGGTGTTAAAGGAATAGCTCGCACAAATATGTGAATTCTGTCATATCCGCTTCCAAAACCCATGAATTTGTTTGTTCTGTATGCCACAAGAAAGACGTTAAGCTTTTTATTTTGACTTAAAAACATTTGACATTGCAAAGTCACTTGAATGACAATTAAATGTCAAGCAAACAAACAAAACCAACACAAAAAATTATTTCCTAAGTTATAATACATTTTTGAACATAAATATTTATAACATTCAGGCATATTATAAAACCAACAACCAACTTTATGGATATATAAACAAATAAAGTGAAACTGACGACTTTGATATATATCGTGTGATATAGGTTAGGCAGGCAAATAGATTCTATTTTTATTCCCTATTCATGTGCTATTTACTTATGTATGTAGGACACTGCACCTGCACATTAAAGCAGTCACGTATTCAACACGCATGACATTTCAAAAAAAAAAAAAAAAGCTGCAAAGAACATTATCCACTCATCCCAAGGGGACGACACACAAAATAATAAATTCAGCCCTCAGAAATGTCAACAAACTAGAACACATATGTACAAAGACATCAGAAGATGCATATTCCTTTTTGGTGACCCCGACGTACTCACTTATGTATATAACACTGGGGAATAGAAGATTAAATTGATAATTAAATTGATTTCAAACAGAAATCAAATCTGAATCCCTGAAATTCTATTTCTTAAGCATCTACTTTTTTTTCTAGGATCTTACTGTGTTCGAGTGGCGCCCAATATGAATTAAGAAGTAGTGAAATGGTGGTTTTCTGGGCAAAATCTTTTAGGGTGTTCTGGGTGGTTGTTGTTCGATTGCTATGTGGTTGGGCATTACTAAGGCATGCTAGGGCATTACTAGGTCTTTGGCAAGCAATTAAAAAATAGATTTATATCTAATCCAAATATCTATTGATCCTGCTGTCAGTTGGTCTCGTGATTCTCAATAGACTGCATTACTAAAGCCTACTATCACTCTGAATCCTACTGCGAACATATTCTCCCATTTCACTTTAAATTAGTGATAATCCAATATACTGGCCAGATCAATTATTATAGCCACTATTTAAATGTTTTGAAATAATAATAATAATAATTTATTACAATAAACTTGATGACCAGATGAAACACCAAATGACAAAAAACAAACAAATGCAAACTACAACTATTTCACAAAACATTAAAAATGAAAAAGTAAATAAATTAATAATATTATTTTATAATTTAATATTAAATAAATAAATGATTATAAATATTAAAATAAATAATTTTACAAATAAACAAAAAATTACATAATATTTTTTATGCAACAATTAACATAAAAAGTAATTCATAAAAAGTAAGTGATAGACCAATATATTGACAAGAAGCTTTGAGATTATTACCATTTAATAATAATAATAATAATAATAATAATGAATATCTATATATTATTATTTAGTACTTTAACATTATATAATATAATAATATTATAATAATTTATTTTTACCAAGCAATTTAAATAACCAATGACAGCAAATAAAAAATTACAACTATTCAACTATTTTACACAATAATAAACAAAAAAATACATACATACAAAATTACTGGTAGACCAATATGCTGGCAAAAAGTGTTGTATATATATATATATATATATAAGACAGCAAAAAAATTTTTACACAATAAATACATAAATACTTTTTCACATATCATGCTCTGATTTTAGGGGAAATCTGTAGTCGAAAGGGTCTTAATGTGCTTTATATTGTTAAACAAAAGTCAAACAACATGTCAAATGACTAATTCATCTAAATTATACATTTGTTATACAAGTACTCAAACCTTCCTTCCACAACTCTGTGAGGCCTCTACAATGACTGCATGTTGTAGACGGAGAGTCCTTGACAGACCTGTACGAAATAAAGCCAAGGGCACGGAGGACAGGTTGTTAAGTTATTAAGATCCATTTAATATACTTTAACTGTACATCCAAACTGATTAAAAATAGAACGTAGGGTGGAAAGCAGCACTTCAGTTAATTTTAAAAGGCACTGTACTGATACAATCATTTTTGGAGAGTAAACCACTGATATATCCTCAGTTAACCAGATAGCCGGGCTATCGGGTTCTTCATCAGTTTCTCATGCGGTTCTTTAATGTGAATGGGGCCTTTTGTTTTTGTGTCTGGTCTTCCCCAATGTCCTTCCATTCTCAAAGTCAAACTTTGTTCCAAGGAGAAAGATTGGGTTTCTGTTTGGTCTCTAAGCTGAGATGAAGGAAATACAAGCCCCTTAAAATCTAATTCACTTCCTCCTAAGTCCGTCTCTTCTGAGCTATTACCTTCAGCTCTTGTGTCTGAGTAATGAGGGAAGATAGACACTATTTCAAGGTAATTTGCAGGGACAGAGAGTGACCTTGACTGGGCTGGTTCACTCTGGTTCATGGCAGCCTGATAAAACTGCTGGGTGCTTTACTCAATGCATATGGTTACTCTAGCCACTGAGCGCACACTAACAGAGAAATCAGTCAACGTCAAGACTGGCACTGTGTGACTTCAAGGAATAGTTCATTCAAAAATGAAAATTTGCTGAAAATCTCCTCACCCTCAGGTCATCCAATACATAGATTAGTTTGTTTATCTGAACAGATTTAGAGAAATGTAGCATTGCATCACTTGTTCACCAGTGGATCCTCTGCAGTGAATGGGTGCCGTCAGAATGAGAGTCCAAACAGCTGAAGTATTCGGTTTCTACAGCGACTCGTTTGGCGCACATCATTCTCTTTCTATGAAACCTGTAAACCATAATCACCGGATCTAACTCTATAGCGACATCAACTTTATAGCGGTTTACCCGATCATTGCAATTCTTTCGTTTTTACTAGAATACAATCAAATGGCTTTCCCAACTAATTTTTGCATGTGCGAGGCACATTATTTCTTCTGCGCAGCCGCGGTGGAAGAAGTGCGCAGCCGCGGTGGAAGAAGTGCGCAGCCGCGCGCAGCTTAGAGGGAAAATTGTTCAGGAGTTTTGCTGAGGGCGAAACATTTCCCCACAGAGATTTTTGCTCATGTTCAAGTTGGTCATGCAAATTCGACACGTTGACCAACAAAAAGCTGCTTGATTTAAGAGTGATCCTGAAACTGGATATTCGGAGAGAAGAAGAAAAAATCAACACAGATTAATGCAAATTATTTCATTTGTGACAAAAAAGCCTTGGTTATATCAGCCGAAAAGGAAACTTCAATTTCCAGTAGCAGAACATTACAGTACATCAGTACTACACTACCCACAATTCTGAAGTGAAATCCACCAATCAGAACGAGGATCACAAACACTCTAATCCAGTTTCACTTGAGTATTTATATTTTATATTATTTTATATTATATTTTATATCCAGTAGTTGTAAATATTTTTGAATAACATGCACTGATTAATGTGCATGTGTATACACATCACCTTTAAAAACTAATCGTCCTGTTCAAAATTTTCTTTCAGATTGTTTTGTTGTGAATGCTGCCTTTAAAGCTGTACTGTTACAGTAAATGGATTTTGGAATTCTAACCAGTGGAGATCAACATGAAATGATGGCTCAATCCATTCATTGCCATGGGTCATACATTCCTCTGCAGTCAGAGCCAATGTGCTGAGGAGGCATGAATGCTGTACTGTACCGTTGATTAGATATGTTGCCCTAAGACCTGAAATGCAACGCCTGCTGGGCACCATTACATTCATGTAAATGAGAGAATATAATCTGATGTAGAGATATGCTGGAAAAAATGGCTTTTAGTAAAAACACAAGTTACAGGACTGGATGGCTCTATAAAAAATAATTAAGAACAATGTCCAAAATCAGTTTTTTATGTGAGGGATAATGTACATCCAGCCGGTTGTTATCGCAGAATAAGGACCACTTATTACACAGCTATTTGCCACATAAGTAAATAATTAGACACAAAATATTGATTTGAGTTGAAATATTTGAATGCAAAGCTTCCATGAAGAAATCAGTTGCGAGCAAGCGGTTCAAACTAGTTGGACATTTAAGGGAAAGGTGCTGTCAAACCACTTATTACACAACATTTCACCACATAAATAATTAAGGCAATAAAAGATATTGATTTAAGACTAAGGCCCCGTCCACACGGAGACGCGTTTAAATGTATATGCATACATTTTGTATCATA